GATTACACATTTAAAGTGACCATTTTTTTTTGGAAAATAGTTGATTCGTGATGAAAGTTGTATACTTGCCAATGATATATTTTTAGATATTATATTATATTAGAAAATAATTACAAAATTGAAATATAATATCAGTATTTCAAATTTTTTTAGTATATTAATTTCAGTATTTCAATTTTCGGTTCAGTTTCTGATAACATATTTTGTGTTTCAATATTTCGATTCGATTTCCGGTAACATATTTTTTTGTATTTTTGTTATTTCAGTTTAACCGAAATATACATACCAATATACATACTATGTGATCAAATATACTAACTACTAAGCCTTTTAAGCTTTATTTCCCTTTGCAACTAGCAAGTTAGCATTAGGTTTTCTTTTTGATTTCTCGCTGCACCTTCTGTTTTCCAAATTCGACTTCTAGATCCAGTGTCCAATAACCCCTTCAATTTCAAGTGTTCTTTTTCCATATTTTGTATGATTTCATTAAACTAATTAAGTGTAGAAAATCAAGTTTAATAAGTCGGATTTGATTACAAAAAGATGAGTCAAATTAAAGAAATTGAACCGAATTTACTCGGTTCGATGTTCGGTAACAGAAAACCAAAAAAAAACAAAAAAACAAAATAGAAATGAATTACCGAATGCCTAGCCCTATAATTTATAGTATATTAATTGCGAATATTATATAACACAAATAATATTAAAATAACCAAAAAGTGATATAAAGAGAATGAATAACAGTTCTCCAAATTAGGAGAACTACTATTCATCTTTCTATAAATAGAGAATGAAGAGCCTTTTAAAGTGTGGTTGGAGAACGTGTTCTCTATTTTACTCTCAAAATATAGAGAATAGAAAGTAAAATAGGATATGTTGGAGATGGTCTTAGTCTTTTAAGCTTGATGAAATTAGGAATACATAAAATTAACACCTAAGCATGGACGACTCAATATTATTGGTGTTCTAAAACCAAGGTTTAGTTAAAAGCTTTAATTTTTTTCCTCAAGGAAAAAAAGAGAGAAGTATTGAAAAAAACCCTAAACTTCACGCAAATTATTATTTCACCCTCGACCTATTGAAAATCCTTAAAGACATTCAATTTACTTGACTAACATAACTTGAATGCAACAAGAGTTAAATACGCCCCTAAATTCTCTTCAAGTTTATGTGTCTTCTCTCGACTGTTTTTTAAAAACCAAAATATTGGGTTGAGCCCATTAATTGAAAAAGTTAGCCAAAAATTACATGACTTGAGTCCAAAAGTGTCACGCCCAGAGCCTACACCCTGGAAGTGGCAACACCCAATGACTATTGTTGGCCTTGAGCGAACCCTTGGCCTGACTTACTTAACTCAGCGAAAGACTTAACTCAATAGTAAAACAAGAACATTCTCATAATTAACTTGATTAACGTCTTGTCCAAAATGACACTTAAGTCTCAAGTATAATATCTGAAATAAAAGAGACTCAACTGAACTAACTGACTGTCCGTGTAAGAAGCCTCTAAAAATACTATGATGAATGTTGGGACAGACCCCACAACATTTTGAAATTTAAAGATTAGAAAGCATAAAAAGGATCCTCCGTATGCAAGGAGGTTCACCACTGACTCTGAGTGCTCCAACTGGATCAATGGTGCGCTGGATGCTGATCCTGGTTACCTGCGTCTGCATCATAAAACAATGGAGGCCAACTGGTATCAGTACATTGAATATACGAATATGCGAGTTGAAATGCTAAACCACGACTTAAGCTTGATCAGAATAAGATGAACTTACCTTGGCTGTGCTCAACTCAAGAAATACTCTACTCAATGTATGTATATAAAGCAATTTGAAAACATGCAATACACACACACACACACACACACACATATATATAAAGCTTGTAAAATAGGAAATCAATTTAGTTTATCAAAGAAAATGCAATAGCAATACAACTTTACTTATATATGAAAGTAATATAGTTTTGTGGGAGATTCTCTAAATGACAACCACCACTATGAGTCTAAGTGGTGATACAACGTCTTGTCCACGCTGCCAGAATTATCCTATACTTTGCCGTCGCATTGAACATCCTCAACCTAGTGGATCCACTGGCTTAACTTACATGATCATCTAAAAAGTATAACCCGTTAATACCATGGTTTACATGGAGACTTGAGTTAATTTGAACATCATCTCCACATTGGTGCTCAATACTACTCCCCAAATATACTTTAGCTCATGCTTTGACTTCCTTCCTCTGGGTTGAGATAATTTGCTCAACCCTTTGTAGCTTTAAAAAACCCTCTTGGAATCAACGTTCCCTTTTCACCATGAAATCACACTTTGTTGCTAATATCCATTGTTCTAGCACAATAACTCATTACAGACTCTCCTTACTTCATCTACAATGTCTCGAAATCCCTTCTCAAGTCTTGAAGCTGTGCACACTTCACCCTAGCAGTACCTTGATACTTTTTCTTCATCGAATCCCAAATACTTAGAAGTTTCTTTGCAAAGAATAGTTTCTAGGATGTGACGATTGGTAGCTTGAAAGAGATATTCTTTGCCTTCAAATCTTTCAACTTTTTTGCTTCCACTTCTGCCTTTTGAGCATTTGTCAAGTTTCGCCTTCCACTAGACCATAAGAAATTCTCCATTAACATGCTCCAATGGTCTTAATGACCATCAAAGCGTGGAATTGCTGCTTGTACGAAAGTGCTATCTGATGCCATGAGTTAAAACGAAAAGAGGAAAAAAAAGGTTTAGCTGCTGCTATTTTCATTTATCTCTAGAATCGCTGCTTCTTTCAACTTGCTGCAGAATCTCACCTTCGCTCTGATACCATGTAAACAAAAGCAAGATAATGAAACAGATAGTAAACAAAAACAGACACAACTAGTCGACACGTTGAGAAGAAAGGGAAATATTTTGCTGCTTGTTTAGTGCTCTGCAACTGCAAATTTTATATGACAAATACTCAATGTTTTAAGCTAAAAATAGAGGAGTCACTAACTCCTAAAAATAAGAAGTAAAGCCATGATAAACTACTTCCTAAAGACTAGGACAAAACTGAAATAACTTGACATTATTTGCTAATAGTATTCTATGTAACAAACTATTTTTCTAACATTTTTTTACAAAGTGGTATCAAGATACAAAATAAAATAAACAATGTTGAAAGCAAGAATCGAACTCAGATTGGATAGACAAAAAAACCCTCTTCTACGCTAGGCAAACCATCAACATTTGTGCAAAAGAGAGTAAAAACTGTAAATATAACGAAGTGGGTTCACATGAACCTACTTGACCAACTATAAGTGGTGGAGCCAGACATTTTATGAAGGGTGCGCAAAATTTGAAGAAGCAACTAACAAAAAAATTTAGTGAGTTCGTTCACATCTATTTTGCTCAATCTAACGCTCTATCATCGATCAAGAATGGCGTCAATAATTTTTGTTTTCCACTAAATACAATCCATATAATTTTTTATCTTCAGTTTAGATTGCTTTTAGTTATAAAAAAACATGGTAAATTGTATAGACTAAAAAATAGTTATTTAATGGATGAGTCAAGATTTTTATCAACACATATCACACATTAAACAAAAGTAACACTAATTTATCGATTTAATTCTACTTAAATTTGAAGTTATTTATAGTGTTTAATACCTTGATACACATAAAAATTGACCCTATACTGGGAGGCTGCAAGTTTTAATGTCTTTACTTTTCTTTATACTGAATTATTTGTCACAACTGTTTCTGTTGTTCGAAAAAAATCATGACTAAGATATAAGCACATAATGAACGTTCAACAATTTTATAGTTTATTTAGTCAATCATATAAGAAGCTAAGTACTTTGTTATAAAATAAACCTTGCACCATAGGAGTACTATTTTTTTTTGTTTTAAATAATTAGATATTTAGAAGTAAATTTCGATTTAGGTGAACACGATCACTCATTTATAAATAAATTTTCATTTTTAGTGAATTCTTTATTTAGCTTCGCCTATGAGAGAAGACAGAAAGATTTCTAGCTAGTCTCTCCTTAAATTCATCAAATTCATAGAAAGTGAAGTGTATCAATGGTGAACACTCATATATATATTTCTCTCTTTGTTATGTAACATATATATATATATATATATATATATATATATATATATATCTTTGTTATGTAACATGGCGGTTGCTTACATATTACATAATTTGCATTGTGAAATAATATAATCTATTGAAAATTGCTATTTAACTAACTATTGACCCATAATTTAAGTATTTTAATAGTTTATAACAAATGAATAATAAGCTTTAGCTAATTTTTGTATATATCATCTATAAGTTCTTCATACAAATTTATCATCTTCCGAAAATAGAAAAACTGTTATTAAACTAGTGTAATAAATTTTTTTTACAAAATTGTGGATAGAATCTATATCGCAGCTAATATATGAATAGTCAACAAAAGAATTATTTTTGCTAGGAATTGACTTATTTAAAAAATTAGGTTTTTTACGTTTACAGACTATTTAATTTGCATAAAGTTCCTTTGCCATATTCAAATATAATGAAAATAGTGAAAAGAATTCATATATTAGAGATGAGTAATAGATGGTTAGTCATTCTAATTTTTCCTGAAATGATTTAGTGTGAAAAGAAATTTATACCTATATTAAAAATAAGTAATGAGGGTTATTCATTCAAACTTTTTCCTAAAATGATTTTGTGAATATATTTTATTTTTAATCTTTGAATCACATGTTAATAACATGAAGCTAAAAGTAATAATATGAAATAAAAAAGTTAAAAAATAAAGAACTTTTTTCTGTTTACAAAGTGTATCTTAATATGCATAATTTTTTAATTAGACAATCATCGCCAATTTTGTTAACATTAGGCTGCCACTTGGCAACATGTGATACTTTTACCCTTACTTAATATAGAAGATTTTCATTTTAAGTAAATTCATCACTTGACGGATCTTTCTTTACAATGCATTATTTTTGTCTTTCCTTAAATAGTGAGCACTCCTTTTCCTTTCTCTTTCAATTTTAGTGGAAAGTCATTTTCTCTCTGGTGGACTAACATATGGCGGCGGATGCTTATCGGAAGGACACCAACACTGTGCAGCTGGAAGTGATGTCGCCGGATCTTACTCCTCTCTCTCCGGAAATCCCTCTCAATGAATATGGTATATAATCAACCCTGTATCTGTTTAAAATCCTATCAAGAAAGAAGAGACAATTAAGATTTCAACATATTTTTTGGTCAATAGGATGGATCTGTAGAAATTAGGGTTTTTACATTAATTTTTTAGTTAAGAATTTAATTTTTACGACTCGTAGAAACTAGGATTTATTCATATATCTTTTCAGTCACAAACTTAATTGTTATGACTTGTAGATACTAGGGTTTATTAAATCAGTCAAAACATAATTTTATGGTTTGTCGAGATTAGAGTTTGTTCATTTGCCTTTTGAATTAAAAACATAATTTTTATGCTTTTTGTTGTGGTTGGTGTAATATAGTTATGATAGGAATTGAGAATACTCACCAAGAATGTCCTGTATACTCATCAAGAAGGTCTTTGGTATTACTGAAGTAAGTGGAGGAAATAAAAAACAAAGTTGTAGTAAATGTTTGAAGTCCGCGTGAATAGGGCAATGCAATTTCTTTGTGCTGAATATTAGAGCTATTTTTATAGCTTTTATACATTAGATGAACCTTTTGGTGTAAGGGATTATTTAATAATGGTGAATCTATAGTATCCCATTGAGGTTGATAGTCAGTGTAAAACTAGCTAAAAAGAGAAGAGAATTCCATCACATTGGCACCTGAATACTAGCAAGGTTTCTTGTATGTTAGCAACGATTCCTGCATCTTAAACAATTCACATCAGTCCTGATGTGTTGCAAGATAGCTAGGAAATGATTTCAATCATCATGGGCAGATGATGATAAAAGGTGATAGTCCAAGAGAGTTTAAATTAGAACTAGTGTTGAAGGGAGTATGAAGTGAATAAAATCAACAATGTCTTGCTTCACTTTGAGTGAAGCGAAGTGTTTGCTTCACCAAAGTGGAGCACACTATATAAAGAAAGAAAGACTAGCACACATTTTAAAGAAAGACTAAAATAGACCTTATACAATGACAATACATATAAGGAAATCTTCAATTTTAATTGCTAATATATGTATCACAAAGTTCTTCAAAATACAAGAAAAATCAATATATTATTATCTTTTTTTTGTTGCATTACAGTAATTATAGAATTTGTAATGAAAATATGTTTAAATAAATCAAAAGAAAGAGAGAAAGACAGCGCTCTAAATCATGAAAAGCACTAAAAATATTACTAAGTTCACAATCATATATGTATATGTATATAAATATTTAGGAATTCTTTTTAATACATATATACTAAACCTTATTTGGTTATGTTAGGTTGATGTTGATATTTTGTTGCACTTAATTTTACTATTCTTTTCTTGTTTGGTTTCAGTGCTAAATGATATTTGTTTGTGCTGATTTTCCCCTTTTTAGAAGCTCCAGAAGATATGCTTCCTCCAAATGCTAGCAGTACATTGTATGTAGAGGGTTTGCATGAGGACTGTACGACAAGAGAGGTGGCACGTATCCTTTTCTTGTGTGGAAATTATCTTATTGTTTTATTTATGGCCCATTCTAGTTTTTCCTTTTACTTTAGTTTTTGCAGACATATTCCACCATTTTAAAGGTTACAAAGAAGTTAGGCTCGTACCAGAACCATCAATATATGTAAGAATATATACGTTTCACATCATCATCTACTAATTAAAAATTCTGTCTAGTGATTATCAACTTATATGCAGCCTGGAGTCAATACCTTGATTCATTGCTTTGTTGATTTTGTGAGTCCGCTTCATGCAGCTGCTGCCATGGATGCCTTACAAGGTGAGCTTCACACTCTTTTTTCTACCTCAAAATTATGAATGCTCAATTTATAATTAATCAGAGTACTAAACAAAATCAATGTTGTGTGAATATTCTAAAATTTTCGTACAAGTTGAAGGACATTTCATGAATGCTTGACAGAAAATTGTCGGACAATTTGCTAGTGTACATTGATCTATGAAAGAGAAATTTTTTGGGATAATGTTGTAGTAAAACTAATCAAATCTTGCAGGTTATAAATTCGACCTTGATGAGCATGATTCATGCAACTTAATGCTGCAATTTGCTCGCAATCCTGGTGTGACGTCAGCTGGAGGGGATTGTTGAAACTATGTGTATTTACAGGTACAAACCTTTGGTGCGCTTGACCCTTTTATTATCGATGACCATAACATACGGTTATACAAAGTTACTAAATTGTGGAACTATACTTTTGTGTAGGACTTGCCATGTTTTGAGAGCGAAGTTATGATGCAAGCATGTTTCTCTGATCATGTATATTAACTGTAGCTGGTGCTTAGCAGTTTGAAGACAAAGTTGCTTGTTAGATCAAATTGTTTAAATTTCTTTTTAAATTCGCTACAACTTATGACATTATCAACTTGTGCTCTTTTGTTTAGTGTCTGATTGCTATCATTTGGGTCTCGAGACTTTTTAAGGTTAATCCTTGCTAGAAAGTGTATGTGCTTTAATTCCATGGTGATTGGTGATGGTTTGTGGATTTTTATTTGGAGTCAAAATGAAAGCACTTACTATATATTGTATATGTAGAGTCTCCCAATGTCTATATTATCCATTCTGAATGACCTCCCTCTTACAGTCTCTAAAAATCCTTGTAAAAAACGTAACGACTTTTACGCAGAGGTAGCTATTATCTACCAAATGCTAACAAGGATTGCCTTTCCATTAAAAACAATGGATTGCTGTAAAGGCTGGAGTAGGAAGCTCGCCATGAATGATAACTTGAGAAAAAAAAGTCCTAAACACTAATTCCAAGATGAACCAAAACATCAGAAATAAATCCCAACTCTAGTACTTCTTTCTTCCGCTTTATTGATATTGTTGAATGTTCGGTCTTCACTTGAAAAATTTTCTTGATTTGTGATTTTGCGAAAGACAATTGTTTTCTTCTTTAGCTTTATGCTTGTATAGAGTTTAATTAAACCTTAGTCGCCTTCATTCTTTTTCCAGTTTAACTTGGATTGATGTTTTGAACATGTTTTCCTATTTTATGAGTGATCTCTTCCCGCCTCTTTATTTTATTTTTGGAACATGTATGTGAACCTGGTTCATGTTTTCATCATCAAAAGTTATTTGAGAGTTTTGTCAAATCATCATTGTTGTCTCGGGTACCAAGTTTGTGTGTGGGCTTCATGAGAGTATCGGGTATGCAATGCAAATTAGGATAAAAAAGAGTAGTATTAATTAAAGACTTAAACTAGACTGATGGAGTTTGTGTAAGACTGTAACGAGCATACTTAGCTTGCAACTAATCAATGCAAAATTTTTCCTTTTTGGCGAAATATACGGAGCTACTTAGTATTGAAGAAGTCGGTAAACTTTCTAATCCTAGTTTTAGATATAAAGCAGTTTAAATAACAGTCATATGAAATTCTACAAGCCTTAAATGAACCATAGTTACAGACACGAGTGAAAGTAGTAGTAGTTTGGGAATTGAGAGCACTAATCACGAAGTAATTTTATTTAGTTTATATCTTAAAGTGCGTTTCTCTCTTAATGTTGGCTAAGGCTACAATCGTTGAGATAATTAGCTAAATTTATGTTTTATCTTCTTTTTAATATCTAATCAATTTAATTATGAAAATTTAAATATAGATACAGAAGAATCCAGTTATCCCACATCGGCCAATAGAGAAGATGGAGACGAAATGAGGTATAATAGTGAGCAAGTAGGATGAATAAACATACTTACCTGGATGGGGTCAATGGGTGATCATGAAGATCCATGGACTATGCTTGTGACCTACATTGCACTTTGGAGGGGTGCCTGCCTAAGGTCGGCTCAAGTGGTTGAGCCTACGTCATAATTTGTTGCTGAGGGGGCCTGCGTTTGTGCGGCCTAGGCCAATTCTAGTTTAATCTTTGGTTTTAATGGACTTCTGATATTCTAGCCCAACGTAGTTGAACAGATTTTCTGTTATGCTATATTACTGCTGCTAATATAGTTTAGCTGGATCTATGCTATAACTAACAGTATGTAAGATTATGAACAATCTCATGAATTATTATGTATACTAAAGAGCAACATTAGGATGGAGTTGTTCAAATGACCATTTTTATTTCATACTTAATTGTATTGCCCTTTTAATAGAAATGTTAATCAAATTTGGTTTTTGCAATTTGACTTCAAACTCATAATATAGAAACATTACTTAAAATGTGATAGAAGAAATGTGGGCCTCGCCTGTCTACTACTTGAACTTAAGTAAATACAGTTAGGAGAAGGATATTTGAGGCGATTCGGTCGGTTGATCTATGTGCTAATAAACATGAAAAATTGAAAAATTTATGCGCTTTTTAAAAAATGGCCTCTAGATGTGGAAATTAGCGTGAAAAATAGTACAAGAATACGTAATGGTTCCCAAAATTCAATATGGAGGTACTCATAAAGTTTTTTTTGAGAAAAACAATTTAGGTACTCCGTAGGCCAAAACCATAGGCTAATTACACAAGAAAACATGACTAACTTGCGTAATTCCTAAAAAGGGCTTGTAGATGCAGAAATTGGTGTAAAAATATTGACGTAAGTATACATGATGGTTCCCTAACTCAATACAGAGATCCTCATAAAGTTTTTAGAAAATAGTATTTAGGGTGCTCCCGCACCTGATAAAATAAAAATGAGGAATTTGCGTAATTTCAAAAAGAATTTAGGGTGCTACAGGCGCCAGATCTATGGGCTAATACATACGAAAAATTGATAAATTTACGCGATTCATAAAACAGGCCTCTGGATGCAGAATTGGACGTAGAAAAAAAAGTATGAGTATATGTGATAGTTCTCCTATTTAATATAGAGGTTCTCATAAATTTTTTTGACCAAAAACTTTTGGGTGCTCTGTGGCGCCTGATCCATGGCCTAATAACAACAAAAATTTGAGGAATTTGTGCGATTTCTAAATAGTGCCTGTGGATGCAGATATGGATGTGAGAAATAATCCGAGTATACGTTATAGTTCCCCAATTCAATATAGAGGCCCTTATAAATTTTATTGAGAAAAATATTTTGGGTTCTCTGAGCACTTGGTCCATGGCTAATAGACACAGAAAAAATTAAGAAATTCGCGCAATTTCTTAAAAAGAGAAAGTTGATTCAAAAGTGGTGAGGGTATATTAGATGGTTCCCCAACTCAATATGTAGGTCCTCATAAATGTTTTTGAGAAACTTTATTTGGGTGATTCGGGCGCCAAATTAATGGGCTAATTAATACATTCTAAAAGTTGACAAATTTGCGTGATTCCTAAAAAAGGGCTTGTAGATGAGAAAATGGACGTGAAAAAATAATTTGAGTATACATGATGATTCCCTAACTCTATACAAAGGTCCTTATAAATTTTTTGAAAGAGAAATTTAGGTGCTCGAGACACCATATCCATGGGCTAATACGTACGAAAAATTAAGAAATTCACGCAATACCTAAAAATTGCATGTAGATGCGAAAATAAGAGTGAAAAAAATGTGTGACTATAGAGGATGGTTCTTAAATTAACGAAAGTCCTCTTAATGTTCTTTGAGAAAAAAGGAGTGTTTCGATCCCCAATTCTTCAGGCTAATACACACAAAAAATTGAGTAATTTGCGTAATTCCTAAAAAAGGGCCTCTAGATGCTGAAATGGATGTTAAAAAAATGGTTTTAATAAGCGTGACGGTTCCCAACTCAATATAGAAGTCCTTAAAGATTTTTTGAGAATTTTTTTGAGTGATTTGGGCACCAGATCAATAGGCTAATACACACGAAAAACATAGGAATTTCTGCGATTCCAAAAAAGGTATGTGAATGCGGAAATGGACGTGAAAATAAGTATGTGAGATTATACGCGATGGTTCCCCAACTCAATATAGACGTTCTTATAAAAATTTTTAGGAAACTAATTGGGTGTTTCGGACGCTAGATCCATGAGCTAATACACATAAAAATTGAGAAATTTGCGCGATTCCAAAAAAAGTCCATCAAATAAAAAAATGGGCGTGAAAGAAATTGTGTGAGTATACCTGATGGTTCCCCAACTCAATACGGAGGTCTTGATAAAATTATTTGAGAAAAAATATTGGAGTTCATGACGCCAGATCCATGGGCTTATACACGCAAAAATTGATGAATTTGCGCAATTTTAAATAAAGGGCTTGTAGATGCAGAAATGGGCATGAAAATTTTAGTGTGATCATATGTTATGGTTCCCCAACTCAATATGGAGGTTGTTATAATGCTTTTTGGGAAAAAAGATTGGGTTCTCCAAAAGCCATATTCATCGGCTAATACAAATAGAAAATTGAGAAATTTATGCAATTACTAAAAAGGGCGAGTAATTGAGGAAATGGATATAAAAAAAATAGTGTGAATATACATGATGGTTACTCAATAAGTATGTCCTCATAAAGTATTTTGGGAAAAATAATTTTGGGTGTTTCGGGATCCAGATCCATGGAGTAATACACATGAAAAATTGATGAACTTATGCGATTCCTAAGAAAAGGCATGTAAATATGCAAATGAGCTTCAAAAAATGGTGTGAGTATACACGAATGTTTCCAACTCAATACAAAGGTCCTCATAATGTTTTTTAAGAAAAAATTGGGGTGTTTTGTGCGCCAGATCCGTGGGCTAATACACACGAAAAATTGAGAAATTTGCATGATTCCAATAAAAGGGCCTCTAGATACGGAAATGTGTGTGAATGAAATAGTGTGAGTATTCGTGATGGTTCCCAAACTCAATAATAAGTTCTTCATAATGCTTTTGATAAAAAGAATTTGGGTGCTTCGGGATCCAGACACACATAGGCTAATACACCTGAAAATTGAGCAATTTGTGAGATTCTAAAAATGGGCCTGTAGATGATGAAATTGACGTGAAAAAATGGTGTGAGTATAAGTTATAGTCCCCCAACTCAATAAGGAGGTACTCATAAATTTTTTTGAGAAAGACAATTTGGGTGACTTAGGCGCCAGATCATTGAGATTATACATAGGAAAATTTAGGAATATTTGCGATTTCTAAAAAGGACTTATAAATTCACAAATGGGCGTGAAATAATTGGTGGGAGTATACGTTATAGCTCCCCAATTCAATACGAAGTCCTCATAATATTTTTGAGAAAAAAATTTAGGGTGCTCTGGCGCCAAATCCATGGTCTTATACGCATGAAAAGTTGAGGAATTTGAGCAAAGGATTAGTAAATACAAAAATGTGCTTGAAAAAAATAATGTGAGTAAACATGATGGTTACCCAACTTAATAAGGAGTTCCTCACAAAATTTTTGACAATATTGTTTGTTGCTCCAGGCCCTTGATCCGTTGGCATCAACACACGAAAAATTAAGGAATTTAGGCGATTTCTAAAAAGGGCTTGAAGATGTGGAAATGGGAGTGAAATAATAAGTGCGAGTATATGTGATTGCTTCCCAACTCAATACGGATGTCCTCATAAAGTTTTTTTGAAATTTTTTTTTGGTGCTCTAGGCTCTAGATCTATAGGTTAATACACACGAAAATTGAGGACTTTGCCCAATTCCTATAAAGGGCCTCTAGTTGCGGAAACATACCTGAAAAATGGTGTGAGTA